CTTCTCTTTCTGTTGTCACATGGTGGTGTTCTTTGTGTCACTCACTTCTTTGATTTTGGTTTCTTCAATCTTTATCTTCATTTGTTGTTAATGTTCTTTCCTAATGCGGTTCTTTGATTTCCCTATCAGTAATGGCCTGTTATCAGCTCCTTCACCGGTTTCATCCTGGCAACAGTGCCACATTTTCTCCACGAATCAATAGTTAAGGTGCCCGCAGGCAGAACGCTGCAAACGTTGCAATGTGATTTCGGACCCAGGCTTACATGCAACAAAGACTTGTGCATGCGGCAACCGCATTTACTCCACCCCCTGTGCAGCCATTGCTGCCACAACCAAGATTCAAGGGGTGGGTGCTTGGACTCTTGAACGGGTGGAAACTTCAGAACAGAAGGAAAAGCAAATGCCACCACTACAACATTGGCTTTGCTGAGTACATTGTGAAGATGTTGATTACAAGGCATTGAGGCAATTCAATTCCTTGTTTTTCTGCAACCTGAGGATATTGTGCTAAGTCAAGAAAGAGATTCCAAGTAGGCTGGGACAAGACACAGTCGTTGAAAACACCACTCTTCATTTGCCTATACGTCTGAAACTGTTGGTGCCTGCTCTTTCACAATAGCTGCCCATTCATCTGTCAATACTTGCAGGCGCCTGGAATTGTTTCACAATGGTAGACCATTCAAGAATTGCACAATATGAGCTGAATGGAACTGAATGTCCTTCATTCCCTGTGGAGCAGCCTAACCCTGATCCAAGCAAGGATTGCACAACAAAAACAGTCAGTCATATTCATGTTAGTCAAGTACAATCATCGTTCCCAAACATGCACATGACCTACCTCTAGCTGCGTCGCTGTCATGACAAACAAGTTCTCCAGGGTGCCGACTTCCAGTCGCTGGGATCTACTGTATATCTGCCCCGCGCTTTCCTCAGCTGCTCAGTACATGACAGTCCAAACAGACATGGATGAGAACAGCGTCACACAGGATTCCAGAGTCCAGCCTCTCCACATCTCATTTTATGCCTGTGAACAGTGCTAATGTCACCTCACAGGTGAAAGGGCAGGTCATAGTCATTGTTTGACAACTATAACAAAGGGGATTTACTCAACCGTGTGGAACATCATGACAGTGTCCATGCTGGGTGCTGTGCCAGGAGTGACAGCAGGCCAGCTGAAAAACAGCTGAGAGGAACAGGCGGCACAGGAAGAAAATGAGGAAGATAAACAGTGGCATAGCACATAACAGTTGAACAGTTGAAGGCAGTTAATGACAACCCGTGGCTAGTGAATACAAGTGTAGGTCTGTGGATCGGTGCACGGGTTCGCACATTCCACTGATCAGCAACCAACTTCAGTCAAATGGTGCAATTTTCCTGCCAACAATAAAGATCATTCTTTGGGTGGTGGCCCAAGGGGGCAACCCATATTGGGGGCTCTCAGCACATGAGCTTCTGCCCACCAACGCCTTGCAGGTGTACATGCAGTGCTTTGTCCCTTTTCAACAAAAATATGGAAGCACTGCACAGGGCATCACCTGAGACATACAGCACACGGCCAGTTGCTGCCCCTTTCCCTGTTTTCTGACCGTCCGCTGTGCCATTACTGTCCGAATCGCTCCCAGACTTGGCCAGCATCGCAGCAACCTAACATCATCACAATGAAGTTATGAGCAGTTGACTCCTGCTTCCAATCACCAGCATGCTTGCTTGTGGTGCACTTGCCACCAAAAGGCGTTCCACGTATATGCAGCTGCCATGCACTGTCAGGACCAGCTACCAGTCCCGCTTCGATGCAAATCAGCAAGTAACCACCACAGTGGCAACAGCTTGTGGCAACATCCTCCTCCAAGGCAATATCCTGCTTGCAAGATGGTCCATATTGTATTAATCTTAGCTAGTGATATGTGCGATGCATGTATGTACAATAGCAATAGGCATGGGCGACAGACTAGGTGCCTCCATTAACAGTCTTCAATTGTGAGAATGGACCCTCTATCAGCAGTTCATGAATTTAGGAGTGGTGATGTGAAACTTGCTTGGGGCAACTCCTGATTCCGGCAGATGTCAAAGGCCTGCCGATTTCTAGGCAAACAAGGAGAATCTTCCAACTTCGACAATTCTAGCATGAATGGGCAATCCCAGCGCCATTCTCACATCCAAAGACGTTACAGTTCTCTCTGGTCTGAGTCAAGCTTGGCGGTCAGTTCCCCAATACTGTAGTATATTCGACCCTTGCACATTTTTGAATTCAGAGCTACGATTTTGCTCTGCAGTTTTTTGACACGGTGCACTCATTTTTCCTCTGCTTCCTGGGAACAGCCATACTGGCGACTCTGCCCAATATGCATGGCCTCAAATGCCGGTTTTCACATCATATTGACTCACGCATGCAGGGCCACTAGCAGCCACAACCAATCCAGAGACCCTCACATTGCGGCTGGGGCTGTTCTGCAATTCTTTGTCACCATTACAATTCTGTTCTTGGTCCTGCCCCACCCCACCCCTACCAACCCCCAACCCCCCTAGAAAAGGAAGTTCCGTTACAGTGCAGAATGGTTGAATATACTATGGTGCCCATTCGTCTTGGTCTCTGATCTTGACATGCGTCATTGAGACCAGTTTTTTGTCTTCACACTGTGGGAATTTAACAAGCATACAACACCTCTGCAGCTCTTCCCTCATGCACCTGATGCACAGTGAGCAGCACATAATGAACCAATACAAACCCTGAAAAGATAAAATAAGAATAAAAACGTCCCGTAGAAGAACAAGGCCTTCCTGCCATGCAAGGCAGCTCAACCAGGTCTGAGGATCACACACCTGAAGGAGAAGAGTGCTTTTGCCGATTCCTGGGTCTCCTCCAACCAATATCAAGGAACCAGGCACAACCCCTCCCCCAAGTACACGAGCCACCTCCTCTCCAGTGTCCCCATGCAAAGGCAGGCGCCAGGTGGCTGAAGTCTGCTCCTCCCCAATGTTCTTTAGCGAAACAGCACTGCCTGGCATGCAAAAACCGGCAAAACATGGCTAGATTTGCCATTCAAATTCCTATCTTAACTGACTAAAGCAATACTTATTTTTGGCTTAATAATCATGATGCAACCATTCGATTGAAGTCGCCAGGAGACAAAGTACTGCCCTTGCCCCTGTTAGGCAATGACTTGCATAATTCTAATCGTTCCTATTACTGAAACTTTTGGTTCCTTCAACTTCAGCCAGAAAACCCTGACAGAACATTGTGAAGAAGTCGGCAACTCAATCCCACTCAGAGAATGGGTTGTATTGCTTCTGCCGTTGCCAAACCCATGCAGCATATGAAGACTTATTGTACATGCCGGTAAAACCCAAAATCAACTCCCAACAAACACTGCCTTGAAGGCTGGAAGCAGCCTCACAAGCATCGATTTGACATATAACTTCAATCCTAGCACCACCATGGGACAGCAGCTACACTCCATGTCATGGAAGACTTTGGGAAACAATTGAGGCACAGATTTTAACTCTCAAAGCACTGTTGTCACCACAGCACTCCAGAGATACAGGCTGGTTTTAAGTTCAATCCAAAACAGCCCAAAGAGGAGACACCAGGAGACATTAAGACAACGAAATAAAAAAGGTGAAACAGAAATAAAGAAATGACTATTTGGGCCATCTCAAGAGAGAAGATAGCACAGTTGATCCCATACGTGTGATACAGAACAAACAGAACAGATACCCTGCTGGCATATCGACAGCACTGAATACGACAGCAACAAAACACCGCTCCATGCTGACATGTCCTGATGCAGCACCAAGCAAGGTACATTCACAAAGGTGATACTCTTCTGCAGGTTAGGAGCTCACACAAGCAGCTTGAGGTGCTGCAAGCCTTCACCTTCACCACCTTGCACGTGCCTGGCATGGCTTGCCAGTGCCAATGAACGCAAACCAAGGAATTCCACAACAGCAACAGACAGAAGCAAAAAGGTTCTCAATAAAACAACGGGCGATGTGGCACGCACTGCTGCCCTGCAGCCATTCACTTCGTTGAGGCAGATGCCAGCTGTTTGCCACCTGGGGCCCCGATGCATCTGCAACGCCCATGGCTGCGGGGCCGTCCAAGCCCGGCAGTCCGACGACTGCCAGTGCACCTGCGCCACCGCCGCCTCCCTTGGGCATCGTAACAGTCGTCTTCTTGTCAAGCCTTGTAAAACAGGGGAAAAAATGCTAAGTGAATGCACCAAGGCTCTGGACTGTAGTTGCGCAGCACATGGCGGTTGTGGCACCAGTGAACCACTGCTCACATTTCTGAAGCACAGCAATACAGTACCAGGGTATTGCAGTGCCAAAGCACCAACACATCAAAGTACTTCAATACCAAAGTGCTGCAATACGAAAATACTGTGCTAAAGTTCAGGGATGCGGGGAAATTCGCCTGCAAGGCACAGCAGCAAGCTGCTCATGTTCCACCAACCAACAGGGAAAGAGAGTGTCTGTCTTCCCAACTACGCGAACAAGACAATAGAAATTTCAAGGATTATCCAACTGAAACAAGAGCCCAATGGCTGCAAATCAATGTGGCACTCTTGTTGATGCATGCAGCCACAGGACAGCTGCAAGGTTGTGGGGATTGCAGGGAAAGGAACAGCACATAAAGGTCAACAAGCAATGACTGAAGGAAGTGGCAGGAGGCGGCTTTTGTCGTGCACTCAAGCAAGATGGAATCCTCACTCTGCACCCCTGACAGCAACCACAGCATCCGCTTGTCCATATGAGATTCCCTATACTCCTCCCTTTTTCCTAATTGATGCCATTCTGCGATGTGCGCCATTCTTGCTGCCACTGAAGGCATCGCTTGCTACAACACGGAACAGCGTATCACAAAGATCCTGGTCAAGAGGGGTCTGCCCCAGGTGCAACTGTTGCATTACTGTTGTAAACACAACTCTGGCCACAGCAGACTGCACACTTCCTCACGTGTCCCAACTTCCACAGGCGCGGCACTTTCCCGTCCATTTTATGTACTTCTCCCCACATTCTGTGCAGACATACTCCACCTTGGCCTTCCCACCACCTGGCAAACGCAGCAAACAGTTCACACGCTCATGCCAAGCATTTTGCACATTGTTGACTCCTCACACAAAGGTGTGCAATACCAGTTAGTGTATGGCCAGCGGACGCAAAATACCTCTGCTCAGGAGGTGGCTCCTTTGCAAGGCCTGTTTGAATCTTACTGTGAGAACATGATTGCACTGACAGCATCTGTATTGTCATCCACAATGTGTGTGTGTGTGTGTGTGTGTTTGTTTTATGCTACAAGAATGCACTGAAGTACATACAAGCCCTTCTACAATGCATACACAAGAACCATTAACACTCTTGCCACATGAGGATTGCCATTTGTATGCCATGGCTGTCTTCAATTAAGAAAGCCTCTCTAGCTCTGGTAACACCATCTCGTCCATCAGAATCGCAAAGACTGGGCTTTCAACTTGCAACTGCTATCGAAAATGCCTTGTCAACACTGCTCAGCCACAGCTTGCTAGTGCTTGACCAACTGTCGTTTTGACAGGAAGGCAACCAGCCTGCACAGTGGCAACTCCCTTCTTCAGCAAGTGCTTTGCAGCCCTCGCTTACCACCAATGAAGACGACTCAGAAGCCTCTCAGTGCAGCATGACTGGCACAAAACGCGTTGGAGCATAATGCAAATTCTAGAACTCAAACCCTCCGGACTCCTCAATCTAAATCTCACATGCCCTTGAAACAATCAAACTTGTTCCGTTCCAGTCCCTAGCAACACACTGATTGGTAAATTGGCTGCCAACGTCGCCCACCGCTGTCGCAAATTATTCAATTCATTACGAAAGAAACTGCATTAGGAAGGCCTACCTTGGCCAATCGTCGCGAATGTGGCGGTGTGCCCTCTGCTCTTTGCACACTGTGGCAATTGTGTCAATGCAACAGGCCGCAGTGGAGCCTTCAGGGCGCTCCACGTGCATTGGCAGCGGTACCACGACCCATTATGCTGCAGAAACAGCCTCATGGGCGCCAGGAACGCTCTTCGGTGCATGTCACATGCTCGGGCCTGCAGGAGAAAATTCGTGAGAGCTGGGTTTGCTCATTGCCAGAAGACTGAGCCCTCAGCGTGAACAAATTGGAGGGCCATAGACGAAGGGTACATGCTGCAGCCATTCGCGAATCGAGCATCACTGCGGGTTCCTGGGGAAGGAAGGTGTGGGCACTGCGGCAGTGTGGACGAACCTGTTGTCCCACTATCGCAAATGATTGCCAGACAGTCCGCGCGCTGGTCCGTGTCTGTAAAATGCATCCATCGCCCTCGCCAGGCTACCGCACAGAACAGCCCCGGCTGGGAGTTTCGCAGCGACGCCGCGGAGCACGGCGTTCGCATTTCGACAAGACTTGTTTCCAGATTTTGTCGGCACTTCCTTGGTTGCAGCGCCACGCTGCGCCCTCTGGCTGCCAGGCGCACCAGCAGACACCCCCCGCGCGCCCTCACAGCAATCGCGGCGGCAGCCTGCGAGACACTCACCCGATTCACCGTGCAGAAGCGCAAAAGACCTTGTCTCCTTGGCGGGGGGTGGGCGCTGCTGGCCAGGTCAATGTGGCATCAACATGGGGTTCGGGCCCCAGGTCCCGCTGCCCGCGTTCAATACAGCGATAGCACAGTGATGCGTGCGTGGGCATGGGAGCGCGAATGTGGCGTCGAGCCCTGTACCACAATGTAAAAAGCGTTCGGATGACGAATCTTCTAGTCTGGGACCGGTCACGCACGAATCCAAACTATCGCCCAATCGACCTGGACTCGATGGCGAGGGTGCGCCTCCGATGGGCGACTTCACCACGGCATGGTGACCATCAGGCTTGTTTTTTACGCCGTAAAAACTGATCGTATTTGCGTTTCTATGCTTAATTTTTTTTGCGTTTTTACACGTAAAAATGCGTAAAAATACGTAAATACAACGTAAAAACTGCCCGTTGTACATAAGGACAGTACAGACAGACTTATAGAGACCGGAGAGTGGCAGCCAGACGCCCTGGAATGGGCAGAAAACGAGTTTTTGTTAAACACCATCATCTCCCTTGCCAAGGGCGAGGTGGACACTGTGTTGCGGGTGCTGGATATGGCGGAGGACTGATCATTGTATGCAACTTTCATCGTGTAATCTGGGCGTCCCAGGGGGCCGCAAAAACGTAAAAATAGCCGTAAAAATAGGGCCTTTTGCAAATTTACGTTTTTACACGTAAAAACGTAAAGTAAAACGTAAACATAAACGTAAAAACCAAGCCTGGCAACCATCCAGCGGGGCACAATCCCCAAGCGTGCACAGAGAAAAGCCAGGGTGGGCCCAAAAGCAGTGTTCGTTACAAGTAAGGCCGTGCGTCCATACATAATCCAGGTGCGGGTTCCGTTTCCCAACAGGTTACCGTTATCAAGAAATCTCCAATGGGCAGTACCTCGCACATCTCGCACACACGTTCCCCTTGAACCCCGTGGCACCGCAGCCCCTGTGGTAATGTTTCCACGCACCAAAGTATGCACTCCGTCCCGTTCTCTCGACTACCACCGTTTCCCTTAGTACTACATGCCCAGGCAACCGCGTCCCGTACTTGGCAGGTCCAAGCATACCATAATCCGTTACCCTAGCACCGTTACCCGCCAAGCACAGTACCAAACATGTATGTCCTCATAACAAGACGGCTTCCCATGCCACTCAGGTTCTGATACCTTAAGCCATTCAACCCCTACAACAAATGTCCCCACGGTGTCCCTCATCGTTACCTAGGCTTGGTTTTTACACCGTAAAAACTGATCGTATTTACGTTTTTACACGTAAAATAGTTTTACGTTTTACACGTAAAATTAGTTTTACGTTTTACACGTAAAAATGCGTAAAAATACGTAAATACAACGTAAAAAACTGCCCGATGTACATAAGGACAGTACATACAGACTTACGGAGACCGGCGAGTGGCAGCCAGACGCCCTGGAAGGGGCCTAAAACGAGTTTTTGTTGAGCGCCGTTATCGCCCATGCCAAGGGCGAGGTGGACATTGTGTTGCAGGTGCTGGAGATGGCGGGGGACTGATCATTGTACGCAACTTTCATCGTGTAACCTGGGTGTGCCAGGCAGCCGTAAACACGTAAAAATAGCCATAAAAATAGGGCCCTTTTGCAAATTTACGTTTTCATGCGTAAAAACGTAAAAGTAAAAACGTAAGTGTGAACGTGAAAACCAAGCCTGTCTTTACCCATCGCTGCTGAGCCCGTTGCCCTACCATGCTAAGTCCTGCGCCGCCACGCCGCGTCAGGGCAACCGCCGGCGCTGTCCTGGGCAACCGTGGCTGCCCTGTGGCAACGTCCATTGCCACCATGTGAACCGCCGCTGCCACTGGGGTAATCGTCAGGTCGTCAGGGTGAACGTCGTCGCCTCGTGGCAACGGCCAAGCCCCGTGCGTTGCGTCATCTCTCTCTCCATGTACATCATTGAAAAGGGACATAACTGGTCATCAAAAAGGGGTACGGCCGCTCAACTCACTTCATTGTCGGGAGCAATCCTCATGGCGTAACTTCAGGGCATGGTACATCGCCTGGTCGTCCTCAAGGCACATCATCTGGTCGTCTTTGAGGCTACAGCACGTCTTCACAGGCGGCAGTTCATCATCATTAATCATCCGGCACGTCTCTCACGGATTTGCCCCATCAGCCTCAATCACGCCTGGGCATCACGCGTCTTGCCACCCCAACGTTTATCTATTACACATACGACTACCGTACTGATAAAGACTCAAAGACTACAATAAGGCCATACTGAAATATAACTGAAAACGTGCCATCCTTCACAGAGGTAATTTGCAAAAGGCCACACGAGGAGGGTACGGAGAGACTGATGTAAAAGCCTGCAGAAGGGCAAGGGTCCAAAGGCCGTCATGTCACATGTGTACCCAAGGTATTGTCAGTATCCACTGGACAGAAAGATGTCGTGGCAACAGCATTCCCACAAAGGCCCTTGGACCCATTGCGAACGCTGCAAATTCCAAGCGCCAGATGGCCTTTCTGTTGTGGCCAGCTGTGGTCCGCAACGTTCACATATGCAGCCATTAGACTGGAACCGAGACTGGGATCGAGACCAGGGCTAGCACGCGACCCAAACAGTACCACAACTGGTGCCGGTCCTAGGCAGACCTGTGATGCATCTGGCATTGCAAAAGTTCACACAATGTCTGAATCATTGTGACGCTCTGCGCAATGTATTGTAGATGAGCATGTCATCGTCATATGGGGCCGTGTGTATGCATGCTTTGAAAACATTCTCGAGATGTTCCTCGTGCTGCTTGCGACGGGTCCTCTTCTTCCCACATTGGGAGACTTTGCATCACATTTTCACAGTGTGGATCGGATCTCACGTACACTTGTCAACGAGGTAGTGCTCCCTGCTCTTCAGCGAATGCAAAGCCCCCACCTCTTCGCTGCACTTCGATTCTATGTCCATGCTGGTATGACTGACCAACATTGCCTCACAGCGCGGCGCAACTTCGGAAACATTCAAGGGGGGCAAACACCCTGCGCTGCAATGATTGTAGAGGGTTGCAAAGTAGGCTGCCATAGCATGCGGTCTGGAGACTATGTATTGAGACATTTTTGTTGCTTAAGATTTTGAACAGCTGAGAAATGCTTTGAACAAGTCACGACTTGTCTTCGTCGATCAATGACGGTATGGGCTCCTTCTTGACTCGCGTCGATTTCGTGACCAGCAGGCATTGCTTGGCGTCATGGGTCCCACCCCCGCTAACCCCCCCCACCCCCCCCACCCTCCTTCCTTTAGCATCAGTTTGGCGCAACGCACACCAAAATTGACATAGCGTAATCCCTGAGTACTGATTGGGCGTCAGGCCAATCAAAACCCACCACGGTCTGCGGCCCTGACAACATCCAGGATCAAGATAAATGCACGGGCGCGTGCATCGAACACGTTGATCCCCCAGCATACAAGTACAACATATTGTCTCAGGCCCGGTCGGCAAAATCTCTGCAGATTTTAAGGAAGTCTTGCATGCAGTATGCGGGCATCGCATCGGACAGGCGTACTTTCACCTTGCCACCTCCCAGGACCACGGGAACCTGCAGCGCAGGCAATTCGAATGTTGGACACACATGCCGCGCGCTTCGCATATGTGTCACATCTTTGGCGCATTTGTCACGTTCGCCACGCACTTGCCATGCAATTGACGTATTCCCATACTTTAGCCATCATTTGGCCATATTCGGCACATGCTTTGAAAACATACATCGTATTTGTCAAAATATGAGATTCGCATATTGAAAAATGATACGCCCGTGGGATCACGAATATCAACCGAATGTGAACAACGCCCGTTACACCCCACTGAGGTGCATTCCACAGAGCATCAAGTCACAGTATCCGGTGGAATGCAACATTTCACCAAAGCAAATGGAATCTGAATCCAAAGCAATGCTGCCGTTGGGGTTGGCGCCGAACAATTGTGGCCAAAAAAAGGGAAAATGACAAAAGGGGGGCCGTTCCAGGACTTCGTGACAAAAGGGGTTCCCCTGAGTGCCAGCCATACATTACGTGCGTTGCCAGTGCGCCGCCAGTCCGGCGCCAAGTGTAGGGTGTACGGCGGACGCTCACAGGGACCCCTTTTATCTCTAAGGAAAACCTTTTGCCACGAAATTCTACAAAGGACCGCCTCTTATCAATTTCCCAACAAGAAACCAACCCAAAGTCATACTGATGCCAAATAAAAGGCGCACCAAATAGTGCTTGTTAGCAAGCAAACGATTTATATGCCAACACCCTGCTGGAAAGCAAAGTACAGCGGGCAGCGCAGCCTGACTCGTGTACGCCGTGGGCAAAAGAGCGAGCACTTACAAATATCACAAAGTGGATGCATGTATTGCGTGCTGTGACGTTTTAGTTCATTAAAACATGCTTCGCAGCTGCACCTCGAATTGGTCAAACACTTCTGAAGTGGTCATTTTATTCAGACATTATTGGTACATTATTCATCACGTGTTGTTGCCGCAGCATATGGACCAAATCGTGCAAATTGGTCTTGCATGTGTCCTCTAACATCTCCATGCATTTCGCCCATATTGGGTGCTCAGCAATTTTCTACATTCACCTGTCGCAGGAGCCCCTCGATGTCGCTGTCGCCCAGGTTCTCGCTCACGAGCCTGGAGCCCAGCTGGTTGGCCAGGGCGTGGTTCATCTTCAGGTCGGGCGCCACGCTGATGTCCCGCAAGAACAGGTGCCAGCCATTAATGTCGATGTACACATCCCGGCCCAGCGCCTCGGCAAGCTCAGAGAATGCAGACTTCTTGCCAGCACCAGAGGATGACACGAACTTCGCCAGGTCCAGCCAGCTGTCGACCACTGGACGGGAAAAGGGGAACAGGGAGCAACACATTGTCTGAGTGGACGCACCCTCTCTGCTTGCTGCGCAGCGATGATCATGGGCTACGCAGTGGCAGGGTCAATGGGAAGGAATGGAACGGCAATGGCCCAGACCGCCAGCCCAACAATGGCATGGACAACGGCAGGACTGCCAGCCGAACAGTGGCGAATTTGACAGAATTTCCGTCCTTGATGGGCTGGTGCGGGAATGCTGGAGACTATACATGCAAAAGCCTACACCTACGCATTGTTGGTGTGACTAACTCGAGCATCAGCAGCGCAAAATGCACTGAAATGGCGTTAAATCGTGTCTCAATAGTGCTAATGCCATTGCTGCGCCGACAGATGGAGCTTTGGGACTGTGCGTTGGTGCAAAACGAATCCTTGCATTGCTGCAGACATGTACACTAGTGCCGCCATAGGTTAATGCTCACTACCATGTCCTCATGTAAATTTCCGCTGCTTTTGAACTCCACATCATAATTTCAGGGCATTAGAGAGTATCCTACACTTTCTACTGGCATTGCTTTGGAGCACAGCGGGCTACAGCAAAATACCGCAACATAGTACAAAGTACTGAGTCTTGTACTGGCTTTTCCCAGAAGGTTGTTCTAGGGGAGCGGGGGGTATATGACATGCTTTCTATTATATTTGTCTATTTGTCTCTGTGTACTCCATCCTTGAATCTATTCCTACATTCTTTCATGGTACTTAGATGCCGGAAATTTGGCACTATGATGATCACACATCAGGTCCAATGGACAACACCAACCCCATAAAATCCAGCCAGCTCCTGACAGTACATTACAAACCACAAACAGGACTTGGGAGGAAACAACCCACAGGGCAAATCTGCCTTTGGGGCAGCGCGTAACGACAGATCATTTTGGGACAGAGCATTTGGGGACATTGCAGTGCAGCACAGAGCTCAATAAGTAATGAACAGAAAAAAGGAAAATACATTTGAATGAAATAAAAGACGCCAACAGGGAAAGGTGCTGTGCTAACAACCTACAACCAAAGCGAGTCTTATTAACGATTGTTTCATTTCTTGTGTGGGCGCATAACAGGCCAATCACTGGGCCGTGGTTTCCAGCCCGCAATAGAACCCATGCGCATTTCTGTGCTGGATTTGTTCCCTGGACTCATTGCTATGCTTATATGTGTTCCCCAAATAGTCTGAAATAGAGGGGGAGGTCTGCGCCTCTGGAAGTGTACTCTGCATTCAACACCTATTCCATATGATACCAGACACCAGATACACATGAACACTGCAACTATAATAAATACAAATGCACTACCATGAACATCCAGTACAAACAAATGTGCAGTCGCATTGAACATAAATATGTACCTTCCCAGCACTGTAGCAGCACAAGGAATGGAGCTTCTCATAGGTTCTTTGCTATTCATTGCCTAAAGAGGCCCACCCTGCCCATCCACTTCATTCCAGCACTACCAAAACTTGTGCCACCCAGAGCAATGCTCTTCCTGTTATTGAAAAGTATGAGTGCATGGGTAGTGTATGAGCCATCCCAAGTACCCTTTGGTATTCTTGACTGTGAAGGTACAACAATGAGCATTGCAGTAATTGATGAGCAGAAAGCAGTGACCACCATCCTCTGTGGTTCTGAAGGAGGTGGCCGATATACAATTGCTGTTCCACAAAACTGCTAGGGAAATCGTGTGGTTTGCATGGAGGCAGTCGTGGCAGACATTGCAAAAACAGCAGGACTGTCACGCCGATGACAGCCCTTACTCCATCTTGCATACAGCTGGAAGATGTGCCATAGCTGGGCTCATCTTTTTCGTGCAACAAATAATTCCTGCATGTATTCATTCTCTGGCTCAAAAGTGGATTCCTGCCCACTACTGTCACCAATTTGGCTAACTGCATGCTGTGAACATGCACAGTCTGGCTTCCAGAGATACCAACGACATTGCCCAAACTAGCTTGGTCCAATAGCGGGCATTCAATGCTATGCATGGCATGCAGCTGCATGACCCATGTGGTAACGGCAGTGAACGCAAGGGCTATCCCATACAAATATTATGCAACTCGAAGCATCATAATGCAGTAGGAACTCACCATCTTCCCCGAGGCTTCGCACCATCGTTCCCCTTCCTCGAATGCGTTGTTGTCTGTGATATCCCGATTGGCCTCTGCCAACTGCAATTAAAGCGTTTCAACGGTCAACACGCTTCTGCCATCAACTTTTCCAGAAAGATGAACTGGCCAGCCAAAGGACACGTCGCCTTTTTTTACAAATGCCTTGCAGACTATGTTGCAAAATGGCGATGTATAGGCACTCAGAAATCACTGAATGCACAGGCGAAAGTCATGCCCACGAATCCCTCACACCGTTTTGACTTTGTGCGATTCTTTCGAATGGGCTGACTACCTTGTTGGTTGAGCTTTCGAGCTCCAAGACCCCACAGTAGTGCGGCGGAAGAGCCAAGTGACATTGACTGCAAATCAGCATCCAAACTGCATGACAGACGCATGCTGTTCCGTGTTGTGAGCTGTTCACTCCGAATCTTCTGCGTGAACTTATTCAACAAGGAACGAAGTCCCACAATTGCTTGCCAGTGGGGGGCTTGCCATTGCCATGACATGTCTTGCCACGTCAGACTTGAGGTGACCGTTGGGGGCATCACGTACCCTTGAGTGCTGTTAGACCTGTCTAATGAATGCCGACTTATTGCGCGTTGTGTGAATTTTTAACCAGTTGTGACAACACGCTGTGAGAGGCCTACCCTGTATTCTGCCCGTTCATGCACAATATTCGGCGCTCATGAGTGGATCGCACTTTGGAAGCTGCTGGGATCGCGCGTTCCCACGTCCCTGTTACGCACCTGGGCACTGGCGTGTTGCGTCCGGCCAGCGGTGGGCGCTCGACGCCAAGTGAGGGGAGGCACCCACCAAAGCCCCCATTCTGTGTCTCGGATGGCCTGTGCATGTGTCCGTGGTCAATGCAGTGCTATGTTTTCCTTAACTACAAGGCATGCCCCCCTTTCTTTGGGGCCCCTGGTATACTGGCTAGGTTCCCCACAACTTCTAACCCGTGGGCAACGAGTACCTTAACCTATCTATTCTGAACTAACCTATACCAAAATAAGCAACCTTCCACCATGCAGTGCGGGGTCAAACTGTGCTTGTGCCAGGTACTATTTCCCTAATGCTTTGGGCACCCGCCAAAGGAGCCCTCTGGGTACTGTGAAGAAAAGCTCTAATTCCAACCTTGATTCATGTTTACAGCCTTTGCTACTGTGAAATTCAATGTGGCACCATATTCACTTCAGTTACGCCAATTGCAGTACTCACGGATGTTGCCTGATGTCAGGTAAGTGCCATATCCTGGATATGCATATCCAGAATATGGTGCCCATATCCAGCCTGGAATATCCAGAATGTTACCACAGCCTGGACATTGTTCGGATTGCTGGCAAATGACCCAGTACGCAAGCTCTGTCAGTCACCGGTTTGCAATCTGATGATTAAAATCCAATGATAAAACATAAGATTGCTCCCTTGGGGAAAAATTAGCAATAACATAATTGAGGGCTCTCACTTTTCCTCGATGTTTCACCTGCAACATTCCAGATTACATAGCTGGGGTTCGGTGGTTACACACCCATATGAAACCAATGAGCAAAGTGAAAACAAAACTAAGAGTCAGACTATAGAAATGAAATTCTGACATCAAGAAAGCCACAGTTATCAGCCAGTCACTTGCTTGCTGCTGTATGATGCACTCGTCGACCTGATCCAAATGGTGAGAGGACGTTTCCCAACAATCAACTTTAATCTTGGTGATTCTGGTGTTGAGATTTGGTGTTGTGGGTCGACGTTGTGGGCCGGTTCTGTGGGAGAGCGAACATGTTGCGCGTGAGCGAAGTGTGAGTTGAGCCCACCGTTTTGAGTGCAAACTCTGGTAGACAGCAAATGCTACTCGAGTACTTAAAGGGTGCTGGACTAGTTTGAGTATCTCTACGTTCGTGGATCCCTTGTTGTTGCCAACTTGTTGTGACTCTTCTGGGCTCCTCGTGAGGGTGTTGGACAGTATCTGTTTGTTTTGTGTGTGGTGCGTCTGCCATGTGCATTCAATTGCAATTACGGCATGCCAAACCAAGACGGTTAAAGCATTTTTTATCTGTGAATGCTATGGTCCTAAAGGTGCTATTCGGTCATCTGAATAGCACCGCCGGTCAAAAAATCATCGTTAACGGTTGGGGAGCAATAGCACTTCGATGCTATTTGGGTTTCAGCGGCAATATTTGGGCCCCAAATAGTGCCACTTGAGGCCATATACCACCCAAAAATAGCACACGGTGCTATTTGCACCGAGCATTGCAATGGTGCGGCGATTCGACGTAGTAATAGTACCCACCATTGCGGATGCGCACAGGGAAGCAATAACACCAGTGCTATTTGGCAAATGTCGCCATACTAAGGTGGAGCGATAGCCAATGAGCATGGTTTTTGGATAGCATTGCTGGTATTATAGAATCCACCAATAAAGACACCCTCAAGGAACTTGATAACAAGTATATCCAGGATAGGTAACTTTTTCAGACATTGGTATTTTAGTGATGAACGACACAAATTTAGTATCCCACAGAACTGCATCAAGGCAACTTGTGTGCAAGCTCACACATAATGGCTATTGAAATGTTATTTTCTACAGGTATGTAAATGCGAAGCATTTAAAATATATTGTCTATTGCTTCAGGGTTCGGGGGTAAAATACCTCATGATCATCGTTGAGATCACCTGACATGTGAAGTTGGTGATGCCACACCCAACTTCTATATAAGAGAAGACACTATGTCGATTTTGGTATAAATAACGTCAATTTGACAATAAGTTTAGGCCCCCACCCCCCACGCCCACCTGGATGCCTATGGCTCAAAGTGGCTTCCAACGGCTCCTAGATTGCCCCCCTTGCCCTCTTCAATGCTACATTAAAATAGGGGGAAGGATTCCTGTGTCACTCATTGGGATCAACCCAG